GTATGAATGATAGAAGTTCATTTTTAATGTATTTGAATTTATATTTTGTGTGTTGTGGTATGTGATGTTTTGTGTCTGTGCTTGCGTTTTGTGTTTGTGCAAAGGAAGAAGATAATTGCGAACAACTCAACGGATATAGGACATACGTTTGGCCTTCAACAGATTGTGATATTCGTCGATCGATATTCATATTCGTTCCAGGCCAAATGGATGTGGCCATATCCATTGAGCCGTTCACGATTTTTTCTATTTTTTTAGTTTATTAATTAATTTTTTAAAATTAATTTATAGATAGTATTTAAATTAAATGTTTTAATTGATTTAGTTCTGAATTGTTTTATTCTTAATTAATTGTGTAATTTGTAATTAATTATGTAATTACAGTTAATTAATTTTTTGTTTTATTTTAATTAATTGTGTAAATTTTTTTATTTAATTTATTTATAGTATTGAATTATTTTATTTATTTGATTATTTAGTTGTGTTTTATTAATTTTTAATAACAATAAACTAATATAATAAAACAAAAGTTAAAAGATGGTAACCCTTTAATAGATGTGAAAATCCGTCAACGGATATCAACATCCATTGAAGGGAAAACGGATATCAACGTATGTTTCCCCTTCAACGGATGTTGATATCCGTTGAAGGATTTTCACATTCGTTGAAGAGTTACTCTCTTCTTTTCGCATCTGAAACGAACCTCCTTTACTGCTGATACCACCATCATTGCACCTTCAAGCACCATCACCAAAAACGAGTTCTGCTACCACTGGATTAGTTCCTTGCACCACCACTAATCTTTGCAACCTCCCACCAAACACAACAAACTTAGAGAGACACACTCACAATACCACCACACTCACGACACAACGAAACACTAAGAAGAAAATGAGAGCTGATTTTCGTATGGGAATGGTGACTGTGTGGAGGTGCATTCATATATGGAACCATTAATATTTTATTAATAAATCGGTGGATGTTGGTAAAAATTAATTCAAATAATTAAATATGACTGAAGGAGAAAAAAAATAAAAAAGCATAAGAAGTAGAATGTGGTGGTGTAAAACTCGACGTCTGGGATAATAATCGGACTCTTGCCATGCTCACGTATTTTTTTTGGGTTTAATCCGACCAGTCTTTGAGCAATAAAAAAAAGATTCAATTTGTAAGAAATAAATTGTAGTGTGTCGATGAAAGAATTCGTTTATTTGTACATTCTTGTGAATGCAGGTGCACGGGACATGACTTCCGCTGGTGTGAGTTGTGCTCCCATACAATACTTAGCTAAATTTCATAATAATTTTCAAATTTATTCAAAAGAAAATTCCCCTTGCATCAAATTATGCTCTCCAAGGATGAGTTCTAGGAGCCATTCATTTTATTAGTGTATGAAAATTCAGTTAAAAATAATTTAAAGGTAAAATATTTTATAAAAAATACATAGTAAAAAGGAAACAAAATTAAACTAGAATTTTTATATATAATACATAATAATTTCAAGCTATTATAACTTAAAGGATAAAATATTCTCAATAATATATTATTTAAATTTGATTCATAATTAATTTATAAGAATTTCCAAGATAAATATACTTTATGATATGAAATAAAAGTTGTGCTTGAAGAGACATTGGTCAAGTCAACAAGTGAATAAGAGGGGCTTGTCGTCCACATTAAAAAGAAAGACCACTTATAGATTTTTCCTGAATTATTTAGAAGTAGGTGAAGTAAAAAAGCTTTATCCCCCTTTACTCTTCTTCCACACTTCTTCTCCTTCCAGTCTTGAAATCTAAGATCATGTCGAAACCTCACATCCTTGTATTTCCATACCCAGCGCAGGGTCATATTCTTGCACTCCTCGACCTCACTCATCACCTGGCCCTCGCAGGCATAACAATCACCATCGTTATCACTCCCAAAAACCTTCCCATTCTCAACCCTCTCCTATCTTCCCATCCAAACAACATCCAAACCCTCGTCCTCCCATTCCCGCCGCACCCCGAAATCCCCGCCGGTGCAGAACACATTCGTGAGGTTGGCAACACCGGAAACTACCCCTTCATCAATGCCCTCTCCAAACTCCAACCCCAAATAATCCACTGGTTCACCACACACCCAAAGCCCCCTGCTGCCCTCATCCACGATTTCTTCCTCGGCTGGACTCACCAACTCGCCGCCCAACTCAACATCCCCAGGATCGCGTTTTACGGCGTCGCTGCCTTCTTCACCACCGTCTTCAGGCGCTGCTGGCACAATCCAAACATACTGACTAATAATAGCGACATTCTCTTTCATGGAATTCCCGGACAGCCGTCGTTTAAGCGGGGCCACCTTCCTTCAGTGTTCCTCCGCTACAGGGAATCAGAGCCGGACTCTGAGTTCGTTAAGGAGAGTTTTCTTTCCAACGATGGTGCATGGGCCTGCGTCTTCAACACGTTCCGCAGGCTGGAGAGTCCCTATTTGGACCACATCCGGGCCGAGCTCGGCCATTCGCGGGTCTACGCGGTTGGGCCCCTGGGCTCTAACCGGTCCGAAAATTCAAGCACGGGATCCGAGGTTCTAAATTGGCTCGATGCGTTTGAGGAAGAGGGTTCGGTGCTGTACGTGTGTTTCGGGAGTCAGAAGTTGTTAAAGAAGAAACAAATGGAAGCGTTAGCGATGGGGTTGGAGAGATCCCAAACGCGATTCGTTTGGGTTGCACCGACGCCAAACAAGGAACAACTGGAACAGGGTTACGGGTTGGTTCCGGATGGATTTGTCGATCGGGTTTCGGGTCGAGGAATGGTGGTTACGGGTTGGGCCCCACAGGTGGCGATACTGAGGCACCGGGTTGTGGGGGGATTTGTGAGCCACTGCGGGTGGAACTCGGTAATGGAGGCGATGGTGAGTGGGGTTGTTATTATGGGGTGGCCGATGGAGGCGGATCAGTTTTTGAACGCGGGTCTGTTGGTGGAGGAAATAGGGGTGGCGGTTCGAGTGTGTGAGGGGGCGGATTCTGTGCCCGATCCAAATGAGTTGTGTCGGGTTGTGAAGAGGGTTATGAGTGGGGAGAGTCCTGAAAAGCGAAGAGCGAAGTTAATGAGAGAGGAAAGTGTTAGGGCTGTGAGTGAAGGTGGGGATTCTTCCATGGAAGTGGATCAGCTCGTTCAAGCGCTGCTACAGCTTGGGGAAAACAAATTGTAATGTGTTACACGAGTGACTGAAAACACTTTTAAACAGCTTTTGTAGTTTAAGAAATTGAATAAGAAGAATGCATATGCCGTGCTTTAATTTTGGAGTTCAATTATCCAGCAATTTAATATTCTAGCTTCTTCTCGTTACCAGTTCAAGTTTTATAAAATTGTTTTGAAGAATAATATTGTTTAAAACAGATGAATTACATAATTTGTTCTTACTGGGCTTGCTTTTGTATATGCTCGTGCCAAGTTTCTATTCCTATAATAGTTTTGTTGGTCATATTGGATATGACAAGAAAAATCTATCTTCAGAAAATTTCCTGTAAGTTTAAAAATTTATTTGTATAAAAAAGTACGAGAATAGGAATTTGTGTATTAATAAGAGAGTAACATAGTTAAAACTAGATAAATATTTCTTGGAATATATTTTTTATTGTAGAAAATTTTCTGATTTGTTTACGTATAAGAGAGTAGAAGATACTTAAAAAGTGAGTAGATACTTTTTAGAATACATATTTTATTGTAGAAAATATTTTGATATCCAAGTAGAAATGTACCAATGTATAAGAGAGCATGAGATAGTTAAGAAGTGAATAAATGTTTCTTTGAATACATCTTTTATAGTCATAATATATGTCTGTTGTACCAAATTGTTATGAAGTAATTATAAATATACTAATACAAAAATGATTTTTGATGTTCGTTACTTTTGAATTTTGATTTAAGTGAAATTTTTGATTTACGAAAACTTGTATATGGAGTTACAACATGAGCCATGACTTAGAGAATGGAGGAAGAAGAAAGACTTCAAAGAACTCTTCTTTCCTTGAAGATAGTGTATTATTTTGTCTTTTCATTTTCTTAGCATTTTAAAAATGTAAATAAGTCTTTTCTTTAGGTCTTATATTTGGGTTAAGCTTACATTTTATTTAGGAGTGTATTTTGTCTATTTTTATTGAAAAGTCTCTGATTTAATCAATTATGTAAATCACTTAATGGATTAAAACAAACAACATCCTACGAAGAGTGTAGTTTTCTAATTTAATTGATTATGCAAGTGTCATAATTGATTAAAATAGACAACTTTATGCAGAAATTGCAGTTTTGGCTTTCCAATGTAACTCTTGAGTGATTAGGGAAGCTAAGTGATTTTTTGGACTACCTTAGGCCTCAAGTAATATTAAAACATTGCTTGTGGGTCTTGGCATCTTCTAAAGGTGTATGCATTTGAAACTAACTAAGAACATTTTTTATTTAATTATTTAGTTTCAAAGGTACATGTAATAGTCACTCTTAAGGAAAGATCTAGAGCTTTTCTATTTTAGATTCATTATCTCTTTCTTTCTTCTTTCTTAAGAGTTGGGTCCACTCTCCCCGTCTATAAATAGGAGAGCTTAAGCATTATAAATTCAACTTGGAAATAATAGAGAAATTATGCCAAGTTTGCATTTCTCTCTTTTTGTAAGTTCACTAGGATAATCGTCTTATCGACTTTTGCCAAACATTTTCCTTGAGGATTGACCTAATCTTCTTCAAGACACACATTTAAACCACTCTCCAAACACATTCTCATTCATTATTTCAAGCTTCTTGATGGGAGGTCACACCCCATACAAATTTGATGTGCAATAAAAATGCAGTATAGATTAGGAAGTGAGTCCTAGGTCGTCTCTCGAGGACCAAATGTGGTTCGAGACTTAGGTCAAACATGCAGTGGGGGGGGGGGGTGAAAGTGTTTTTGAATGCAATTGGACTTGAACTTAAAGCATGAAATTAAATATAACTAAACAGAATTGAAAGCATTAAATTAAATTTGGAAAACATGAAGACCGTACGGTTCTTCACAAGGCCGAACAGTTCTATTAACAAGGCTGATCGGCTCTAACAACAAGCGTGTTGGAGACCGATCGGTTCTGCCACAGACCGAATGGTCCTGGAGAGGAGACCGATCGATATTAAAGCAGTAAAATGGAAATGCAGACTAAAGTCGAATGGTAAAAGTAAAATTGAACAACACAAATAAAACCCGAACAGTCATAAAGATGGACCGAACGGTAAACATAAGCAAGGACGAAAGAGTCGTTCGGTCATGACAGACCTAATGGTAGCAATGAAAAACCGAACAATATGCAGTAAAGGCAGAAATAGTAAATGTGCAGAATTGAAATGTGAACATAATTAAATGCAACTGAATTGGAAAACGAGCATAAAAGCAACATAACATCCAGAAACGAAAATCACACCAGAACATAAACCAAAAGAGGAAAATGGAACGAGAACATTAAACAGAAACGTGAATGTAAGTGCTGAAACGAAAAAGGAATAGTAAAAACTGGATTGCAGTAGTGAACAACAAAGAGGATGAAGATGAACAGTAAAATGCAGAAAATGTAGCACAACTATTGAAAACGAGAATGGACCGTAAAATTAAACGAACTGCAACGATTTCAATTCTTAAATTGCAAAGTAAACAAGATTCAATACATGAGAATGGAAATGAAAGCAAAACCTAACCTCCCCAAAGGGGTGGAAGAAGAAGACGCTCCCCAAGAATAGAAATTAAGTGGCGGCTGGGAGCTTAATGAAATATGCTTTTAGGGTTTTATACAACCCAAAAGACCAAAAGGCCCTTCTAATGGGCTTGTCCTACAAAATAACCTACAATTGGGCCCAAAGTCCTAAGGTTTGACCCAATGACTTTCTAAAATGAAATTAACTACACTATTGATGTAGGCATCCTCTTGAAGTCCTAGAATGTGCTTCCAACACTACTTTCTCAGGTTACTGCATCTGACCGTTCGGTCATTAAGGGCTCAGGCTGTTTGGTGCAAGGATTAACAGATATTGTTTGGTTCAACAGTTGAGCTCGGCTTACACCGACCATTCGTATATGCTTCCACAGATCGTTCAGTGTAGGCGTTTACAGGCCGCTCAACATATGCATTCTCATGCAATGAACGTTTTGCCGCTCGGTGAAACAGTGCTCCGCAGGTTAGCTCACTGGTGTGCGGTGCAGACTTCAACAAACCGTTTGGTTCAGGGAAACTCATGCACTAAGGCTATGTCGTACGGTTCAGTCAGTTGAGCTTGGGTTCCACAGACCGTTCGACCAATCCTTCAGCAGACCGTTCGGTACAAGTATTCTCATGCACTAAGTCTTTGTCGTTCGGTTCTGTGATGCTTGGTCATTTGGTGCAGGCTCTAGCTGACCGTTCGGTAGTGACATGGGCAGACCGTTCAATTTTGTAGTGCTCGGCCATTCAATGGAGCTTCTTAGCAGTTGTTTGGTCAATCTTTGACAGGCCGTTCGGTTAGGCCTTTGATAGACCGTTCGGTCAAGAGCAATACGTTCAAACCTTTTTTCAACCTTTCAAACAATGAGTTTCCTGCAAATAGTAATTGAAATAATTAAGCCCAAATAATTCAAATTAATGAAAATAAGAATTATTCTTGAAATTAAGCCCAAATAGTAAAAATGAGACAATAATGGAGAATTAAGCACAATTCATTAATACAATTGGGTGAAAAAAGCTAAGTGAATAGTAGAAAATAATGACTCATCACTCCTACATCCAAATGCATCATATCCATGGAGTCTCCTTCAACTTTGTGAAGTGAGTTTCCATCATTTGGCACCAAAGCTTGTTCCTTCATATGGGTCTTGTACCATCTTTTGGGTCATGTTCCATCATTGGTGTCAATTTTGTAGTTCAGTGACGAGTTTCGTGGTCCATTTCCATCATTTGGTTTTTGAGCAAGCTATTTTCCCTCATTTGGTATCAGTAGCAAATGTTGCATCCTTTGTGGATCAAGAACATGACTTTCATTCATGGTTCAAGATATAAGTGTCCTTTATCTAAGTCTGTTTTGTTTCATGATTTCCTTACATGTCCATACGTGTTTGTGTTGAGTTATATATGTGTTTCATTTTGTCCTTAAAATAATGAGAATGAAATTGGAAATAAAATTAATTGGGCTTAAAAAGGAAATAATGGAGTTACAAGAGTAATTGAATTAATAAATGATTTGGCTTTTGTCTTGATGTTGAGTGATATATTTTGTGACATATTGTTTGAGTGGAATTCATAAGGGGTCCATATTAGACTCACATGGGATATGGATGAAACTTTATATGTTAAATGATGAAAAAAGGGTGTAGATAGTATTTAGTTTTCCTATTGATTGTTGTTTGGTTGACTTTATATGAATGTGAAACTTAAAACCAATAGGTGAAGATGCATAGATAAGTTACGAATTTTAATACCTTAAGGGTGAAGTTGAGGTCTTGTTATTGGTATACACTTGAAGAGAAGGACGTGCATATCCTATAACTATAAATCTTGAGTTTGGACTATCTATCGTTTGATACAAGATAAGAGTTCTCTTTGGCCTTTTGTGTTAAAAGAGAGTGATGTTCGAGTGTTGTACCTTCTTTGTATGCGTGGTAAGATATTTTGCCTAATCTCCGACTCTTTGTTAAGTATAGTACTCGGTGCACGATGTGTCGACATTTTTACTCGTAAGTCCTTTTGTATTATGTAATTATTTCTTTTGTCTTTTTGTTTGGTTTTTTTTTTTTTATTTTTTTTGTAAATTTTTTTGTTGTTTTGTTTTATTCTTTTTTGGGTATTTTTTTTTTGTTTTGTTTTTTTTTTTTTTGGGTAGTTTTTAATTTTTTTTTTTGTTTTTGTTTTTTTTCTATGTTCTTTTTTTTTTTGTTTTGGTTTTTTTTTTTTTTTTTTTTTTGTTTTTGTTTTTTTTAAGTTTATTTTTTTTTTTTTTTTTTTTTTTTTTTTTTTATGTTTTTTGTTATTTTTTTTGTTTTTTAATTTTTTTTTTTTTTAATTTTATTTTTTTATTTTTTTTTTTTTTTTTTTTTTGTTTTTTTTTTTTGTTTATATTTTTTTTTTTTTTTTTTTTTTTTTTTTTTTTTTCTTATTTTTTTTTGTTTTTGTCTTGTGATGATTGTATGACATTGGTTATACGGGAGCATGGGATGTTGCAAATGCTCCAGATGCATGATAGAGACTTGAGAGTAGACAACATTCATGGTTTATCTAAAGTTTTGTGCTTTAAATTTTAGAATAATTGTAACTAGGTTTAC